CCAAATGATTTTCAATGTGATGCCAGAACTATCTTACGTATCGTACAAACATCTCTGAAGTACCATCTGTCGCCACGTCGTTCCCATAATGCTTTTCTTGGGTGGTGACAAATATCAAACACTAAGCTTCTTTGTCTTTAAGGGAGACGTAGGGGGTGAATCTGGAATTTATACGCATCCTTTGAGTATTTTCGGCCCCGACATGACGGCTTTGCTGTTTTACAGTTCACTTCGAAAGGATATTGGAGGGCATCATAATGTACTGCTTAGGTCAGAGTACAAATGAACACATATTGCACAACTCTAGTAGTGTTGATGAAAGCTTTTCAGTGTTAAGAAATTAACAGTGTCGCACTGTGTACAGTCGCAGGCATTATATCGAAACAAGTCTACCTGATGTGGACACTGGAATTAAAGGCGAGCCGTCTGGTTTTGCTATTAACTATGAAATTGTAGGGTTTTTCTGGCACATTTAAACTCGTACAGGAATCAATGGCGACTACGTTTTTCATTCAATGTAATCCCCACCCCTTTTTTCAAAATTCCTCTCATTTTTTATAAGAAATATATCCTACGGTAATAAAAACAAGACGCTCGCTTCCTAGTGAAGAACCAATAAACCCAGTTTATAACATCTCCAAAGTCTGTACATCGCTCGCAAGACAGGACATGTTGCATCGCTCAGTAAAGATTGTATTTCAAGGGCGCAACTTTTATGAATACGCCGGTTGGGCCAAAGCTTATAACACAACCACTTCGCATTATTGTTGAACAAAATATTTCGACTTAAGTTATTTTCTGATTAAGACAAAATATATTAATTGGCAAAGGTGATCCTTTTTCGGTGATACATTGAATTGAATTAAACTTTATTACAAAACAAATCCTTGCCGAGAACACCATACAAACATTTTCCATTAGGACGTATTTTCTCCAGCTTTCGCCTCGAAACGATAGACAGCAAGAACTGAAATAAATAAAATAAAAAAATCACCCCACGTAGTTCCCTGCAAATTCAAAAACAAACAAAATCCGCCATGCCGAACTAACAAAATAATTATGTGCAAATGCAATTATCTAAGCTTGCGCCTAGAACTACTAGCTGTGTGGTTTCATTTGAGATCAAACATACGTGTTGGGTGGCTATTTGGATTTGACTTAAAATATATACCATAGCCATATTTTCGTAATGAACAAAACCGCTTTTAAAATTGGTCGTAATGTTTTTGTTTTTTTTTCAAACATTTGTAAGTGGAGCAAAGTTATTGCAGCATTTAGGCTGCTTGTATTTTGTACCCAGTTCTTTCGGTTGTTATAAATAGTTGAGAGCAAAAACACTCACAGTAACTTTTCTTGTAAATGTATGACGCACCGTCTCGATCGTTTACGTCGAAAACATCTCTTCTGCTGGTCTCCAGGGTGGAGTAGACCGAAGCCTATGTCTCACAACTGCAGTGGAAAAAACTCCAATTATCAATCTAATGTAAAAATACGAGTAATAAGTTGTCTGCATTTTATGAAGGCCGCGGACACATTCGCGTCGGTCTACCCAGAGTTTAATTGATACGATAACTTGTGACAAATGAGTGTTCTTTAAAGATATCCGTTATGCTATCCCTTGTACTTGCATTTTATATAATATGACACGAAAACAAAGAGACATCTTTGTAAGCAATCATCTAAAATACAGGCCTGTTGGCAGTGCTATCGTCCTATCGGCTGCGTCTTCGGCACAGCCGAAGTTTCTTGGGCTCGCTGCTTCCATTTTTGTGAGTTGGATTTTACGAATTGATAGGTAAACCGAAAAGTTTCTTTGTATGCTTAAGAAAAAAAAATAATAAAAAAATTAGAACGAAGAAATTTACTGAAAGCTCCCGGTTTTTGGTTTGCAGTCAATCTTCTAACCGAGATCGTAGCCATGACAGGCAGCCTAAATTTTTACAGGTGTCAGGCGAATATTTTCCAGGAGCCATTGCGTCAGGGTTGACCTCGCGTGTATAAGAAATTCTAAGTACTACTTTCTTTTTCTTGTTTAAATCGTACTCTACTTCACATTGCATTGGACGTTACGTGAGTTCCCGATACTTTTTTCATTCAATTTTTTTTTCATAAGGTCGCAAGAACTTGGATGCGTAATCTTCAGCCCTTGGTAACAGAAAACAGAAAGCAGACTAAGCAGGGTTAGACAAACTCTCACCAGAAGGGGTTGGGCCATGAGACATAAAGTGACGGACCGCAAAATCTGTAGTCATGCTGTTTTTAGTTTCATCTCGTCATCTAACAAACCGTGCTATCTCACAGAACTGAGGTTGGGGCTACCGTAGACGCAAAATCATAGTGCGCAAACATGGGGTCGCAGTTATCATTTTTGCTCAGCCAAGCAATGTTTTCGCCGAGTTTACTTGAAAAGTAAATCAAATACTGCGCTCGAAGGCAGCCTTAAACGAAGGTCAACATTTCTTCGAAAGTATCTTATAAAAAGTGCGACCTTTTCAGACTGAAGCAAGGAGAAAAAACAACAGAACTTAGCAGTGTCGAAAATAATGTTTTGCAGTGAAACTTCGAACAACTGCCTCAGTCTTCTAAATGTCTACATTTATTTTTAAAGAAACCATTTTTTTTTCTGAGATTAGCACGGGTAAATTGAGGTGTTTCACTTTTTGGCCTCTTCTATTGCCTGTAAAATAATGTCTACATTTTGTTTTGTAAATACTGCACAATACATCCAGTGTGAACAATCGTGATGTAGTGTTTTTTTTTTTGTTCTTTATTGTTCGGGCCTACAGGCACCGAAAGAAGAGGACAACACTAAGCTGCATAAGGCCAAAAAAAGTCGAATAAAAAGAACACGAGTCGTCCTCAATTCAGTGCTCTCAAATATAGCGAGCAATATGCAGGTTTGTTTCGAAGTATATCGTGACGACTGTATCGAAGTTGTTCATAAAATTCCGTCTAAAAGATCGCATGCTGATAATAATAAACTACTCATTAAATGAGCGACGGGTTCTCGATATTGAAATGTGAATGGTGATCAAATAATCCAGGGAAATATATTGAAGCAGAGTTTAAAGAGGAAGCTACATGGTGATTGCGTTTCGGCGCGTCTGCGGCAGATGATAAAATATCGCATTCAGGTTTAACAGGCAAACGTACAGGTCAACTGCTGGCAAATATTCTAGCGTTTGTAAGCAATCTCTCAGTTACAAGATATAGATTATGGTCAAAACAGCCGTATTAACAATAGTAAAGCAGATACTTAAACCGAAAATAATAACGGATCCGCTATACTAATAAAACCGGTTTTGTTAATTTTTTTTTTTGTTTTGCAATTTAGTGTCTTTTTTTTTTTTTTTTTACAGATCAGTTGTTTTTAAAAACGTTATTTTTTTCTGTTTGGATATAGAGCTTGACAATTTACGTTGACATATTGCTGGGTACCAAGGATGATCTTACTCTTCGTTATTAAACCATGTTTCTTCCCAAGGGTTTGTTTTATTCAAGCTAGACGATTGGTTTCTAATAAATCAATTCAAGCAGTTCTAATATTACAGAATGAGTGGGCGAGACAAAATATATCCGATCGATGCACACTTGCGAGTATTCGGAGAAGTAGTTCGTTACTCCTGATTGAATTAAAATACCGAAATATTCTTAATTGTAAGCCTCTTGTACTGAATATTTATTATCCTTGTTTTTAATAGAAAAACAAGGCTACAGCAGATATGAGACTCATAAGACCACTTTTTCCATACTCCCCAAAAATATATCCCTGCCAATCGATTCTGCGGCGGCTCCTGTAAAAAAATGTTTGGCGAGATAAAGCATCAGATATCACACAGAACGTGGACAGTATAATTTACGAAGCAGACTGATTTCGTCTCGGTACTCCATCGACTACGTGCCGACAACATTCCTCACCTCCTAGACATTCCTCCTAGACAGCTGTCTGCTCGCCATGATTGCTGGTTTCCTTCTCTCCACTCGCCTCCTCTGCAGCGTTCACTCTGCTAAAGTGGAAAGAGTGGAGGGCTTTGGGGGAAAAACTGGTTCTACTCTCGTAACCTGCAACACATTATTGTGAAAGTATTATACCCCTGCGCCATTAACAATCGCGAAGAACATCGCGAAAATTAGTAAGCCCAACGTTTTTTTTTTGTTTTTTTTTCAGAATGAAAATGAGCTTAGTTGGTGGTTTCATGCCAGATGTTCTAAACGTCATTCAAATAACCCATTTTTTGTTTTTAAGTATTATTTTAACGTTGTTTTAATGAACCAATTACAGATTTTATTGTCCAAGAAACCTGCAAGCAGATTAATCCGCGTAGAGAACGTTGGTAGCTGGGAGGACAAAGTTGGCCTAACATTTCAGTATTATGACCTAAAAGTACATGCTTTAAAAAAACAAAAGGCTGTAAACGAAAAAGTAAGGAAACACAATCGGCGGAATGGGGCCTATGGAGTTTTAGAATAAAGTATGCAATTTTAACGCCTGATAGTGCTAGGTTTAGAGCTTGAGTTAGCGCACGCAACGCAAGATGGAGCGTCTCTCCGCCGCTACGCAAGAACCCAAGCAACTCGTGCTTGCAATGCCACCAAGATGCCATAACAACCTTTATTTCAAATACAAAATGCTCGAACTTCAGAAAACAAAATTTTTGTTTGATACACAGTAACATTTGGGATTTCTTTAAATATGAGAACGCGATGGGCAGCGGTAGCCCTGTCCTGTCCGCTTGCGTCGCCTTGGCAAGAGAGTTCTGGGCACCTAGGCTGGACATTTGCATTTACATTTTAAATGGTGACGTAAGTGACGTATCGGTGGATGATTGGTGGTGAAAATGCATCCGCCTATCAGTCACGAATTCCTCAAAATACGTCAAAACCCTAAAACGTATATGTACAAATTCGCCGTTTTTTTTTCTTTAATTCTCCACTTGTATGGGGCTACTAGCGATACAGGTGCATAGCCCTACATAGGTGTGTATTGTTTCTTGTTGCAGATGTGTGCTGCGTGCACATTCTCCACCTTTCTGTGCCCAAGTGGGTAGAGAACGGCACCGAAGACTCCGTGCTGCTTGACTGCGTCTACAGCGTGGCCAAGGACGACCAGCAACTCGTGGTCAAGTGGTTCCTCAACGACGACCCACAGCCCATCTACCAGTGGATCCCCGAACTGGACAAAAGACACGTGTCCCAGAAGCTCAGAGGGAGGCTGAACCTGGACTTCTCGCTGTCCAGCGGCAACAGCTTCACCAAGTTTCGAGCCCTGAACCTAGTGCGCCCCACCACGGAACTGGGCGGGCGCTACTCGTGCCACGTAAACTCACTCGCAAGCCAGGATGCCGAGTCCAAGCTCATGACGGTCTACGGTGAGTCACTATGTTGTTGATTTCATAAGTCTCGTGAATCTTGCTATGAATTTTGTAAAAAAAAAATAAGTACGTGTATTTAGCTGAATAAATAGTTTACATCAGTGGAGCCACTTTTTTATTGTGTGCCCTTCCTATAGGCTGAAGGTTGATTCAAGCCGTCAAAATCCATGTTTGTAAGAAAAGAAAGAAAACTTACTTGAAAAAGCCTTTACATATAGGTATGTCGGTGTCCTTAATTTCTCTCGTGAAAAGGTCTTCATAAGTATTTGCAGGGGCCGTTTTTTTTTATATATATAACAATCGCGCCCTCTGGAAAGGTAAACCCATTGAATTCCTTTCTTCTTTTCCTCTTGAAAAGAAATAACATATGTGCAGTGGCGTACCAACCTTTTTTTGAGTGGGGGGTGGGGGGACAAACCAGACCCCCCCCTCAAGCGCCCGGGGGGGGGGGGGGGTGGCGCCCTTGGTATCCCTTAGGCGCCGCCGGCCAATGTTTGCCCTGCCCAGTGGCGGCTGTTTCAAGGGGGGGGGGGCAACACACATGCCTTGCCCCCCCCCCCCCCCCCCTCTGAGAACTGGGGGGGTGAGTGCCGCCCTTGCCCCCCCGGTTGGTACGCCCATGCATATGTGAGTTTCTTAAGATATTATATTTCGCATAATTAAAGTGGTTCTAGAATGAGAACAGTTTAGCGAAACCGGATTGCGTTGTCATGCCATATATGCTGCTGTCGAGATAAGCTGGAAAAGTAAGAAGAAAAGGTTCAACAAATGCCAGGTATTAAAGATAGCGAATATATTATGAAATAATCAGTACGAACAGCGGGGAAAAATCATGATTGAATTACGCTGATCCTTGTACAGACCTGTCTAAAATATCTCGTCGAGACACCCGTTTCCTCGAATAAATAAACTCTAAAAACATACTTGAAAATTCTCTTTCCAAAGTTTATACGTATACGACGCGGCCGCAAGTTTTAGGCTTAACAGCGTGTGCGTCCCGCGTCTATGAAATTAAACGCACGTATTGAGTGTATCGAATTAAATTTTATAGAACGGAATTAACGGGATAAAACACAAATATGAAATGGAATTCATTTATTTGTTAGTCACAAAATCAATTGAAAGAAACAAATATTTAAATATGAGGTAAACTTATACTGCTGGACGATACACAAGAAACCAAACAAAACAAATGTAAAGCCACAGCAAATGAGTATTCAATCAGAAATCACACATGCAGTCGAAATAAGTGCAGATGCAAACGCTAGTTAAATTTTATCTTCGGAGGTGAAACTCATTGATGGGCACACGCGATTGATTATAGACCGATGATAGGGGAAATTAGATATCGTAGCATTTCAGCGGCGATATGGCCTCGCGCCTTTCCCAGCGCCGATAAATGGGTATTGCACTGCCTCCGGGATCGGCTATACAGTTTACGACTTAGCGTCGGAAGACCGCCTCCCTGAGCGCCGACCATAGATTTAATATATTAATCTAGAGGGAAAATCTCCATGCATCTGTGCCGCGTCAGAACGGCGCGGCATAGACGCGGACATTGGTGGTTCCAGTTGGTGATCCCGATGGCATATCGCTGGCAATGCCTTAATATGAAGAAGAAGAAAAAACAGCAATACATCGCCTGTAAGCTTTCTAGATATTGTCTAGCTTCCTTCGCAGAAAGAGACGGGAATCGGGCATTATATACAAAAATAAAAATTTGCCAAGCCCTCGGGCAACTTAACCTTATTGCGGCCAAACGAACACGCATAACATTTCGTCTGCTTTCTTTTTCTCTTCTTTCGCTCTCTTTATCGTTCTTTTTCTCAGGAACATTGTTATCAGCGCGCAGGATTTGTCGCGTTCTCCTCACGTCTTCACACTCCTGGCACACCAACTGACGGGCACAGACCCTTTTTCTTTGCACACCATCAGGCGGTGCTCCAGAATTTTACGTTTCAGCAAACTTCCGATTCCTTAAAACAATGAACACAGCCCACCTTAACACCGGTGCTTGAAACGTTGATGAAACATTTAACCGCCAATTCTCCAAGCGTACGCCAGAGGAACCAAGAGGCGCAATATATGTTCAAATGTGTCCAATATTACTAACTTGTCTCCTCAAAGTCGTTAAATCGTACAGCCAAATGCCCTCGCTAAATCTCCCACTATGTTGTCCATGTACAGGGTGCGGCCGTAAAAACTTTCACATTTGGCACGCCTAGCGAAAGTCGAATTTCAAACATACATACCTGAAATTGGGCACACGAACGTCGTTTATTCTAAAGTTTTTTGCCTATTTTTTTCAGACGTCAACTCTGGAGTAGCGAATTATTAGAAAGATAACAAAAATAGCAGACGTGCATTTCCTATGGCCTATACCCGCCCGTTCGCCGTCTGCTATCTGGTTCGCGACGCCGCTCCCAGGTGGCGCACTGAACGCTAAAACGCGGGAAACGCCGCACGAAAGGCTGGTGTCGGGCGAGATAATCGCGATAGAAAGGTATTTGAACGAGATATATGAACGATTGTTGAAATTACCTGTTTCAAGTCAAGTTCTGACAGATCGTCATGCAAGCATGAAGACACCATGATGCGACGAGATCATTTATTTACAGCTGCTCGTCTTGTTGACAATTGCGGGTCGCTCTCGAAGACAGCAAGCACCGCTTCAATGGGCTCCTTATTTTTCAGCAGGCTCTCACGTTCACTGATTGGATTGTTCTTTTTTAAAGTCTTCTCCACTCACAAAACGATCCGCCCCACTCAAAACAGTCGAGCGTGAAGGCGGGCGTTTATGAAATGCAGTGGGAAATTTTCGTTGTGCTTTGGCCACCGAGTTCCGCTCCACGTACCACTTGACTGCCTGGGCACACTCACTTGCCGAGTATTGCGGCACCGCAGGGCGGCGCGGAAAATATTTTGATAATAACTGCAGAAGATAGTGCTACAAAAACAATAAATAGGAACAATCAAGATGCCTCAGCAGCGGCACTCTTGATTCCAAAGTGGAGCTTTCACCGGGAGCGGAGCTGTCAACGGATAAGCAGACGACAAAGAAAAACACACGTTCGTCTGCTTTAGAACATTTATTTATTAAACGAGGGCGTCCGCCAGTTTCTAAATTTCAAGTAAAAGGGCATAATCATTCACATATTTCGGTAAAATCACTTTTCATCGCGATTATCTTGCTCGACACCAGCCTTTCGTGCAGCGTTTCCCGCGTTTTTGCGTTCAGTGCGCCACCTGGGAGCGCCGTCGCGAATTAGATAGCAGACGGCGAACGGGCGGGTATAGGCCATAGGAAATGCACGTCTGCCATTTTTGTTATCTTTCTATTATTACGCTACTCCCGAGTTGACGTCTGAAAAAAATAGGCAAAAAACTTTGGAATAAACGATGTTCCTGTGCCCAGTTTCAGGTATGTACGTTTGAAATTCGATTTTTGCTAGGCGTCCCAAATATGAAAGTTTTTACGGCCGCACCCTGTAGAATGTATGCTTTCTAGCACTAATGTCGTAAGCAAGCTTGACAGGCTTGCAAAGACGCAGCGACCGGAAGTCGCTTGGGACTCGAGCAGCGGTTCATGTTTGTAAACAGTTGAATGGATCATTAACTTTCAACTAATATATTCACATTATTTAAATGAACCAGACATGACGGTGCTTGCGGCCGGGTTAAGAGCTGAGGTCGCTGATGTTGGAATGTTCGTTTTTTTTCGTGCCTCGGTGAGCGTGCCTGTTGCCCGAACCTTACACGTTCTTCTTTTCTCTTGGCTCGCCAGGTGTTGCTACACAGTTTACAACTGCGACGGGAGACAATTCCGCGCACAAGAATAAGGAATGCAAAATATATTACCTACACTCGCCCACAGCTTTCCTTGGCAATGCAGCGGAGGTGAAAGGCACGCGTTCCCTATCCCACTTCGAGCGCTGGATAAGGCTGTGCGCGGGCCCTCCTCAACTTCGACTGCATTGCCAAAAAAAGTTGTCGCCGAGTATAGGGGATCATTGGAGATGTAGACTTTTGTGTGGTTGATTGACTGTACAAAACCGAACACGTTTACATTAACGGGAAACACTTTCAGAGTGACAGCATGTCACCGCAATCTACGGGTGGCTCATTCAGATGGGGTTCGAAATTCACAGCCAGAGGTAGATCACGTGGAACTGCCTAAAGTGAGGTTTATTTCCGTTTCTTTGGGGAAGACGTTGTCACGTCAGAAGACTTGCCCTCTTTGACTATCAAACTCAAATTCAAATTCGTTTATTTTTGCCCCAAACGGTACATTTGTGACAGGGGCGCTGGAGCGTTGCGGGTCGCGGTTTCTTGATTATTTTTCGGAGCTAAGAAGCCGTTCCACGAGTATCTCCAAAGAGAAGGCTTTCTGACTTCCAAGCTTACGCAAGCACTGAATCGGCCTTCTCGGTAGGGTTCCAAATACCAGACACGTTACACAATTGCGAACAATCTGGATGACCTCGAGGTCGTCTTGTTCGTTCAATTAAACTCCATCAATCATGCATACGAATCGATATCGTGCGCAATTAGTGCCCACGTTTCATTACGGAGGGCGGTGTCATCCCTCCCGACCGTCAGCACCGAATTAGCCATGCGCCCAAAGTCGACAATAAAAATAAGGCAATATAGCAGCTGCGCGAGGAAACTAGCAAGTCAACCCTCCCCGCAGATTAACGCCACTTGCACTCGCAGGCAGGCCTCTGGCGGCACCGAGTGGCGGTGGCTCATAGAAAGCAGCTGGCGTCGATGAGCGGATTCGTGATCGAGAGTCGTTGGCAGTAGGCTAATGTGCGAAAGGAAAATTATGGCGGGGACCTCTTCTATAACTTTGAAAGCTATCGAAGTGAGGCAAATATAGATTTTCTGATTTTATTTCCCAGGTACTGCGTCCCTCGGTCGGCGCTCTAGAAAGAAGTGGAATAACCGGAAGCCAAATTCATAAATAGGTATATTCCAAATAATAAAAACAATAGTTTCGCCTGTTTTATTATTCGCGAAGAGGGTTTGCAGAAAGCCCTATTTAGTTAATTAAAACGTGATTTAAATTGTTTGCCGAAATTGCTGCTCTTCTATATCTTAATGCAAAACTCCGTTGTCTCCAAAGAAATATACTTGCAAAGTTATTTAATTTCAAATTTCGCGGCACGCTTTTGACAATGGCGCAAACAGCAATATGGCAGAGAACTAAGTCTCTGATAACACAGCTTAGGGGGCGGGTACTCGACGAAACCTGAGATTTACCTGCCTTAAAACTCTCTGCTGTGTGCACTTCCCAGTGAGCAGCATATCTGAATGATATGGTACTCGCAGAAAGAATTTGTAGCACTCTTCTATCTCTTCGGTTTGAGTAAACACTTTACTGTCTAGTTTGTTCAGATTGGCTTGACAAATGGGAATTGACAAATCGGAGCAAACTGAGGAATACACCTATACACCTTCGAATTGTGTTGCACCATTAAATAAAAAGAAATTATGAAAAAAAAAAGTTGGTTGTTTCGTTTTATGTGTATGTCACGAAACGGGAGTACATATTTAAACACAAATCTTTGACTGAGAGGCACGTGAATAAAAAGTTTATCAGAAAAGAAACTTCAACGTAAAACTTTTTGACAGACATCCGTCTGATTATGAGCGGCATAAAACCTAAACTTGGAACTGTAACCACACTTTAATAAAAGCAAAGATACCGAGGTCTCGGGGCCAACTCGGCCCCTTGATCACGGGTGACTGTTTCTGTCACCATAAATGAGATTGCATATTTTGAGTGCTCAAGTTCATCTTGATTCTGGTCATTTATAAGTTTCAAGAATTTGACGATCACGTCCATTATTAGAAATAGTAAATAAAATTATATATGTATTTGTCTCTCCTTTTACTTCAATGCATGGTCCTGGTCAAAAACGATAATCGTCGGCACACAGCCCCGCCGAAGCGGTTCGACTTCTCGTACGAGCGCCTGTCGCCGACCGTGACGGAGCTCTCGTGCGAGGTGGACGGCGTGTTCCCGCTGCCCACGCTCTTCCTGTACCAGAGCAGTGGCCGGGAGCTGGCGGCCAGGGCCCTGGGCGCGTCTCCGAGCGTGGCACAGACCGACGGCGCCTACCAGGTCCGTCTCACGCATGTCGTGGAGAGTCGAACCCTTGAGGCTGGGCTCGGACACATCTTCGAGTGCGTGCTCTCTATCCCGGAGACGAACTTCAAGCGGCAGCGGAGACTAGAGTTTGAACCCGGTAAGACTTTGGCATTTAAAGATGCCCGATAATTTCCTTCCCTGCAGGGTTCCCGGACAGCGCGAGCTACGAAGGAAGTTTTGCAATACTCAAGGACGAGGAAATGCCTCGACCTGTGCCAATGCCTCTGTATTCTCCGTGCCTGTCGGACGGGGAAAAAATGCAATGGGGTTCACCACCCGAAAAGTTGCGCGCTACCCCCGCTGCTTTAGGAAAAGCAACGCCACCTTCGTTGGGTCGTTGGGACAGGATAGAGAGCAAGATTGAAGAAAGCGTCCATCTCCAACCGGTGGAAAACGTTTCGAAATTAATGGCGGAAATCGCCTGCGGCGATCGGTCGGAAGAGCGCATGCGCTGCCTTTTCGCGTGGCGAGGAGGAAAGCAGCAGGAAAAGGCGGAGACGTTCACAGACGATCAAAGCTTTCGTCGCTTCCTTGCAGCTCGTATTGCACACGTGGCCCATAAACCACGTGACCCCGGCGGTAGCCTCCCGAGAGCCTGTATTACAGAGAGTTTGCAACTGCTCGTTTGTGGTCACATGCTTTATGGGCAGCGTCTGCAATACGAGCTGCCAGGTGGTGCCGAAAGCGTCGCCCCCACCCCAAAGGTGTTTTCCCCACTCTACCATCGGCTTTCTATAGCCTCACAACGTAAGAAGCGCCGTCTCGCGGCGCACACGGGCGTTGGAGGAAGAGGAGGACACGACGGCTTTGGGCGGCTCTTCCGATCGACAGGCATATAGTCTACGGGAGGCATTGCCTGTGTGCTGTGAAGATTAGCTCTCTAGGCAGGTGTCCTGCGTGCTTAAGATTTTTGTCTTTTCGGTTCGCCTTTTTCCACTCTTGCGGAATCGACACTCACACGTATGATCGTATTCAGTTCATTAACTTAATTATAATTAATATTACATTTAACTAAACAGTAGTTTTGGTGTCATGATTATGACTTGAGTGCGCGCCTCGTGACCGGTTCTATAGTGGCACATGTAAAACTTTGATGCCAACATTGTGTAAGAAAAAGGATTACAAGCGCAAGTATAGTTTAGTCTAACATCAAATAAATTCAAAGCAGAAAACTAGGCTTTCAGTCGTATTGAAGACAGTAGAAAGAGCACGACAAAACCGAGAGCCTACAGTACACCTCGTTATGTAGCTGTAAAACATCAAATGAATCGGCGACAGTGCGCGCACATTAGGTCACAAAGGAAATAATAAAAAAAAAACATGTTCCTAGATAACAATGACGATTTCTTTTTGTGGTGGTGTGGCCCAGTATTTACGAATTACCGCCTCAACTGCACGCGGTAATTTTAATGAGCGGACTTAATCGCGTAAGCGTAAGGTAAAGCTTCCAGTGTCTCGAGAAGTCTGGAGCGAGTAAAAGTTGGGCAAGAATTGGAAACTACAGCCTTAGCGTTGTCACGTGGGTTGTTTCTCAATAAGTATGCACCCTAACTGCGCATGCGCCCAATAACCGAACATCAGATTGAGAGTGACGCTATTTAGTTTTAAGGGAGCCCTTTACTCCTCCCGGTCTAAAAATCAAATCGCGAGTCGAACATCACATGCCAACGCTGTGGTGGAGCTGGGCTACTCCGATTCGCGAGGCTATTTTTTCGTGTATGACCGCATGTCTGAGTCCTCAAGTAAGCCTATTTTGTAAATAATTTGGTTCAGGCATGAAGAATATGATGGTTAATAACGGGTCAAAACTTAACCATTTGTTCTTACGAACATGTGAATGTATACTATTTCCTAATTGCGCTAAGATTCCGCATCCCGCTTTCAGCAAAATGGGAAGGACGCCAATTGCGCGTTTACATTTGCGGATGCGCGGGTGGGTCTGCCCAGGCGAAAAGTGGATTTTGGAGCCGGTTGGCGAAATTGACACGTCGCGGGCGGAAAATCTGGATTAGTTCGGGACCCATATCCTAATTTTCCGCCCTCGACAAGTCAATTTCGCCACCCGTCTCCAAAATCCACTTTCCTCCTGCACGGATCCGCTCGCGAAGCCGTAAGTGTAAACGCGCCATAAGTAAAAAACGTAGCGACGCTGTATCTCTCGATATTTTTCTTTAATTTCTAAAAAGAAGTGACGATTTTTTAAGAGTTATTCACCGGATTCAACCCCCCCCCCCCCCCCAAGAAAAAAAAAAAAAAAAAAGAAGACATCATATTTGAGTCGAATTTTATTTTAGGAATATTTGGAGCCACGCAGGAACGGATTTTGAACACTCAAAAACTCGGCGCACTTCTGAAAGGCGATACATCCGCAGGGATTACCGCCACGACGCTGAGTGCCTTGTAGAATTTGCCTCCGCCATCCTTCACGGCAGGTCTATGCTTTTCAAGAAATACGATCTTCGTGTTATGACAACTTGCAAGGCTAAGCAGAATCATCTCTCTAGACTTTATCGAAATAATGCACTAAGTAAAGTTGCATAGCGTATGCCATAGGAAAATGTCAGTTGAAACTTGGAGCGCAGCAGAGCTATCGTTCATGCAACTCTCCTCATTTTGGTCGCGTCGATAATGTTTTCCTTCCTTGTCAATTATTTTTGAAACGACGTAAAGAGCGACTCTAGTTTAATGTAGCCTGTTTGTCAAGTTGGTTTATTTCACGTACTGCATGTGCCATAGTTTCAAAGACTAAGATATAAACACGACTCAGGACGTCTTCGTCTATGTACTTGACCATTGGTGTGAACACTCTCTATTGTTCTGGTTGTTTTTGTTTCTTTACTTTATATCTTGTAATGGAAAGATAATCATATATTTCATGGGCCATGACTATAGCTTTTTGGGCGACTTGTTATGACCAGTGCTTTTTGAGGCGACTTCTTACCAAAATATTCTAGCACACTAAAAGCAAAAAAAGCGTGCAAAAATACGTTATCATTTTCCCCAAAACAACCGTATGCTATGGACGGTTAACCCTTAAGAAGCAGAAGTCATAACAAAAGCTGATATCCCTATGATACTATAGGCGCTGATAATGTTGCACCCAGGGCGATCACCTTCATGCTCAAACTGGTACGACCGTGAAGGTAGGGCACTGGCAATGTTAAGAGCATCACCCAGATATTTTTACGAGGACCTTGTTTAGAAGCAACCCGCACCTCCTTCAGAGTCCACATGGACGGAAACGGTAAATGAAGACTTTATGAAGTACACACACGACCAGAGTCACGGCTTTGTTCACTGCTCCAAAGCCGCACCCACTCAACATTTGAAAGATTCTCCTGTGACTGCGTCTGCATTTGCGAAGGGCACAAGTGCGTTGCTTTGTTATCGTTAAATATTTCACATAAAACATACTACCTCGGATTTCAACTGATGTATTTCTAAATCAAAATTATTGCTATGGATATTTTTTTGGAATCAATGTTCTAAAACAACCTTTCCTAAAGCTTCTTAAATCGGGTGTAAGGTAGATGACGCTGTTTTTTAAGCAGCTCTCTTTTTTTAGATTCGTTTACACCGCCTAAAATTGAAGGGTATTCCACCACCCTATTTTTCGATTAAAAGGGGTATACTTGAAATAAGGGTACTGAAAGCTGCGTCTTAATGCTCCTCTTGGTTCCTTAAAGGTGGAATTTTTTTATTGCGGAATTTATTACAAAGCACTTGCGTTCCTGCTTCGGTCCCAAAATTCTAAACTAATCCACAAAGGATACATTTTCTTCTTGGTAGACGAGCCTCTCCGCGTCTCTTTAATAATGGGTCGGGCTGTAGGAAGTGCGTCCAGCCGCATTCCCGATAACCTCGACTAGCATTTCCGTTGGAGGCGTTGTTCCCCTTCCGCCCGCAATCTCGAGCGTTGCCACGTTCATCTGCACCCGGGAGGAGAGGAGAACTCGGAGAATGCATTGGTATGGAAAGAATGAGCATTGCCCGGAGAGCACCGAACAGAGCCGTGATCCTGCAACGAAAGTTATTACGGCTGGCCGAGAAGCTATTGATCGCCAGGAGTCGACCTGAGGCGTGAGCATGGGAAGGATTTCTTCACTGACGGAATTGCCTTTTCGAGTTTTCTAACTGTTTGTCGATTTAATACTGTGACCTCCCCGCGTATAAAATCCGACGTTTCAATATCTAGCGTAAAACAAGTGCGGGAAATAACTGTGGAATTTTCGGTATCCACTCGACGAACGAGGGAAAACGCGCAAATGGGATTATCACGTGGGCATTTGTGTTTAATATTTTTGTATTGGGGGTGACCTGGCTCGAGCATTATTGCAAAGTGGTTAATTTGGCTAGTTTGTTGAGAGTTTCAAAACTATTAAAGCACCGAAAGCAAGGACCAAGAAGAAGTAAGATAACGCAAGGCCCTACTAACCAATTCGCTGCAGTACATTTATTATACAACGGACTCTTTTCTATGCGCCATGTGTCGTCTTACTCGTTGGTCCATGTTGTTTTCTGCGATTTTATATTTTATAAATCAAGAATTATAGAATATAAATTAATATTTGGGTATATCGCACCTTGGACTCGAGACGTGCCAGCAAAAACTATCTGTAAATTTGCTGAAAGTGTACTTTGTCCACTCTTATACGACTTGAGTTTTTAAAAACCACAATTAAAAAAAGGGTAGGCTACATCCGTCTTCATACTTCTTTTCTTTTTTTTTTGTGCAGATTAAATGCTGAGGGGTTATAAATTCCCGAATACTCGTTAATCGAAGGCTTGACTTCTACATTATAATTTGAAGCGACCTTTCCATAAAAGCGTACTAGGGCGCCTTCATTGCTGTGTTTGTTCGGTATGCACGCGCACATTCTGGCTTTTTTGAAGGGGTCATGAAACGCTTTTCAACTTTTTCTTGTTTAGCTTCTCTCTTGAACTCATAAATCGCGCATTCCACCAAACAGTTCAAGAAGACAAAAAGAGGACCTCTTGCTCGGAATCTGGTTTGTGTACCTGGACAGAGCCATTGTCCCCCAGAAAATTAGCCTGTAGTTCAAAATTCAGACAAAAGTTACTTTCCTCATTTCGGTCACCCCGAAGCTGGCAGTGCTGTGGAAGCTACGTGCTCGTTGGGCCAGCCACATTGCCACGTGATCACGCTCCTTCGCGCATACCCACGCGCAGAGATTGAGGTCAGGTGATGAAAGGGAGGCGGCTGACTGGTCCGGCAAGTGCGTAGCTTCCACCACAATGTCAGCTTAATGGGTGAAGGGAATGAGTGAGGTCCGGTTGCGTGTGACGTGCGTTTGGACCCGCTGTCGTGCTTTTGGCATCGCGGATGTATCACAGTGAAAAGGCAGAGAGCTTACGAAGGGGAGGAGATACGAAATAGCCCGCTGTGTTTTCAAATTTTCGCACTGAAAGTCAGCCTTTTGACTTTCTATCTTTTTTCTTTCGGTCCACTGAACGATGTGCTATTAGTAAAATCCCAATCTAAAATGATTTATCACAACCCAGAATTTGTTTCATGGGCCGTTTAATTGCGAAAAAGCGCGGGCAGAATGTGGCTTAGCACGTGTGCACTGTGATTTTTGTAAACGGGAAAAACGTGTATGCTGGTAACACGAACGCTATAGAGCGGATGTCAGCCATCCAAATAGTTATACAACCGAAGTTCACGACTACCAATCTCGGCCTCGGTGGAAGACCGCAATTCTCGGTAAAGTCCCGAAGCTAATTCCAGTCACACGCGCGCCGCTCCGATAAAGGCCCGGAAGCTGACGTGGATTCTGTATTGACGCACCCGCCGTGCAAACAGCTGCACCCAGTCTTTCGGCGTTGACAGAATGTCCAAGCCCTTTGCTTCGTCTCACTGGAGGACGAACTGCTGGGGACGCTACGAGCCATCGGAGCCAGTCCAACCCTGAGAGAGTGCGAAGTGAGCAGTCGTGGTTAGGCGCAGCGACACAGGAAGCGCTAAATCACGTGGCACAACAAGCGCCACCTGATTGGCTGCGATGGCTTTTAGCGACGGCTGAGGTCCGTTTTAGCGTAAGACGGACTATGGACGCGGCTGTAATTGGACCCTGGTGTTAGGCTCCTTGCGATGGCGGAGCGGGGGGGGGGGGGGGGGGGGGGGGAGTACACTGCTCTCTTTGGCGCTATTTCCCGACTCTTTGTTCTGCCGTCCACTTAGGCAAGCAGAGCCTAATTAAAACGGGAAGTTCTTATTCCATGTCACGTTTGCACGGACCGTCGCGTCCATTTTTTTTTCTGTCCTCCGTGTAGCTTTATTAAAGGGATGCTTCTCATCCCTGCCGTTCTTTAAAAGCTTCTCTATGTTAGGTTGTTTTTTTTAATATTTTTTTCGCTCCAATGACGTCGTTATAACTTGAATTGTTCACTATAGTTATTGTTTTTCGCTGCCTTTGTCTGGCCTTGATTGCGTAATTTAGTTTTTGAGCTTTCAGCGTTTTCAGTTTTCGAAAGTTCACTTGGGCTGGCCCATGGAACTCAGAGGCACGACCTCATTAATTATTTACTAAATCGATCATCCTAGAAAAGTCTGGAGTACGGGAATCATTGTTGAAACTGAAATTCCTATTAAAAAATGAAAAAAATTCCCATCTCTTTTTTTATTTTATCTATTCTCAAATACATTTACATTGGCTCTCTTAACAAAGTACGTGTGAAAGCTGACCTCTTTGTATCATTTTCTGATAACGATCGGCGGATATTTCCTGTCGTTATTTCAGTATAATATACATGTTGTTCTAGTTCCTGCGTTATATAATTTTATATTTTTAACCCTAGGAAACGAATAAGATGATGTCATATTCAATTTTTTTTTCAAAGTCACTAATTACTGGACTACTGGTTCACTCGACTTCGTTTTTATTTCCTTATTTGATGGAATTTGAGGTGGTTCATTTTATAACATAACGAATGCCTGCGTCTCTCGACAAGTATATTCGCATTTTCGAAGACCATGGAACCGTTTACGACGGTTATACATAAGACAATCAGAATTCCCGTAAATATAGACATTAAAATAATAAGAGCTATTTGTCCCCAAGAAGGAAAAACTGGAAATTGTCCTTATAGTTATATGTCTGACTATCTGAATTACCTCCTTAAGTTATAACCACTGAGTTGGCATTAGGCTACTCAAATGCCGGCGGTTACATCTCACTTTTGCCCGCGGATGGGAGTGTTTAAAGCCATGGTTCTCACTGAATCGAAAGGATATTTAATGTCCAATTACGTTTAAGAAACAGGTTGACATCCATGTACTGCATCTGGCGTAGCATATTGTGGGAAAACAAAGAACGATTCTACAATCTGCTCTGTCGCGGTTCAAGGAAGCACTCCTCTGGATACTGGATTCACCTGGGTTGCTCAATTAACGCTCTGTTTCTGAATTGGAATATATCTATATCTATATCCATCTATATCTATATCGTAAATAAGCAGATGAATTAACTCTACATCGAATGTACCAAAGTATTACGAAACCGCCGAAAGTCAAAATATATGCCGAGTCATATGTAAACAAGCGCCAAACGCGCCCAGCCACTCGATTGGGTCCTCTACGTTTACGTCCGCCGTTGACCCTAGCAAGATTTTGGCCCCATTTTTTGCAGAAAAGAAGCTACGCTTTGTAATTTTACAAAATAAAGCCGACCTCTGAAAAACACCTTTAACGAAGAGTTTACGGTGCTACGTGCCAGGCGGTGACATTTACGGCCCATTTTAGATACTGCCTGGTTATTTCAGGCATTAAATAAATATATATATATATATATATATCGAAAGTAACAGTTGTGTAAATCGTGTAACGTGCTGAATGCCGATGAACATCCGTCCAATAATAAACAAAAAATACTTTAAAAAAAATGCACACTAGCTGTTTAGATCGATTTTGTACATTACTGAAGAAAAAGAACCAATTAAAATGACTTCATTGAAAGGTGTAACTCATTACAATAATAAATTACTGTATCACAAAAAGAACGAAATCTACCAGAAAGAAATTGATTACTGTTCACCTTACCTTTCAAATTTTGTATTACGAAATCACAAACGCATATATATGTTCAAAATGGTAAACTTTTGTTTCGATTTGTCATGAACACCATGTTAAGTTTCAACAGCAGTTGTCGTTCGAAATTCTCGTCAGTGATCTTCACACATTTCCTGGCGAAGACATGTGCTGCGACGCTGAAGACCCTCTCGACGGATGCGCTTGAGGGAAGAGCGGTCCTGTCGGGGGGGGGGGGGGGGGGGGGGGGGGCGGGGAGGGGGAAGGGGGGGGGGGGCACTAATAGTGCGTACCAGTTCATGGCTGCACAGTGCTTCGACGGCCGATTCCGAGTCTTCTACGACGCGACAGTCCGACAGTCAAAACGTCGCAGCGCGGTGACATTCTAATCCTTCTGGTATCTTGCTGTCTCTTTTTTAGTTATTTAGGGGTAAAAAAAAGAGTCCAACGTTGGTTCCATATTGACGAGTGACGCACGGGCTGGCAGGGCGATTGTTTACGTAAAAGAACTCAACTCAATAATTTTAGTTTTTTTGTAAACATAATATTGATTACATGCAAACGAGTACATAAAAATCGCAATTAAAATACAGTGAACGATACCACAGAAAAAATAAATTTGAAGCTTTAAAAGTTACAGTAATATGTAATTTTTTTCACAATCAGTTACTTGCAACTCGCAATTAAAATACAGTGAACAATACTACAGAAAAAAATAAATTTGAAGCTTTAAAAGTTACAGTAAAATGTAATTTTTTCACAATCAGTTACTTGCAACTTGTATTATACCACAGAAAAAATAAATTTGAAGCTTCAAAAGTTACAGTAAAATGTAATTTTTTTCACAATCAGTTACTTGCAACTCGCAACGTACAAGTCTGCTCTAGATGTGGCTAGGCCTAATAAAAGTGTCCCATTTTTTTTATTGCGTCGCAATTGTCCATGTGGCGTATTTTAATATATTTACATACCTTCGCTCTACGTGCTGTATGCAGGAAGCCTGGTTGGGGGAGCCAGTCAATTGCAACGACGTCACACCATGTGGAATTCTCTCTCGGCGGTCACTGCGGTATTGGCCGCCGCCAAGGCACGGGCGTAGCAGGAGAGTCAACGGAACCACACAAAGATCAACTAAAAAGTATGTATACAATTTACGTGAATATTTTTTTTTCATGGATGTCTGACTTGCTCCCTCTTTCTGGAATTTCCCAATGTGTCACTATATACAAAAAAATTCATAGAAAAAGATTATTCCTGGCGAAAGTTCATATTGTTCGTTTGGTTTAATACAAATAAGTTACCGGAAGTGATGTGAATTTAAATATGCACGCAGTGTTGTTGTTTATCGGCTCCAAGGTGCCGGAGCTAAAACCCATTCTCCACCAAATAAAAAAAAAATAAACTGATATTGCTAATGTGTTTCAAAACAACATATTAGAAGCTGTGTAGGACCACATCGCGTGCGTAATATCAGTGCTCAAAAGCAAAAAAGTAAGACACAGTAAAAGGGGATGAGGGCATATGCTCCCAGTAAACACGCAGAATGGAATGAAAACATGAACCTTCATATGATAGGACCTAACGGTGTATTTCTGGTTTTCAGACTCCACTCGAGCGCAAAGTGAACCGACCTCACGAGTCGCTCAGAGGATGAAGACACCAGACGTTTGAAACGCCGAGACCCCTAACCTTCTCCAAATCCAACCACTGCAACATTAAAAAAGAAGCTCCTTTTCACCACGTCATTTCCCAACAAGAATTTAGAAATAGTGTCGACCAACATCAGTGCCTCCCCACATGAAACATGGATTCTTCGGTCCATATTTTCTGAAGTCGTGAATACTTTTGTGTGCGCCTGTGCGTGTTTCTGGTGTCTGTATGTGTAATTTGTTGAACACTGCACGTATCGACGACGCTGAACTCTCAAGGACTTTGTTGCTGATGTGCCCACACGAAAACTTGGGAAGGTCGGTGCCGATCTCCCCACACCTCTTGTGTAATATTTTCGTTCCTCGTTTCGCGCTTACTCTCTGCAGTTCGGTATAGGGGGACTAGTTTTGTTCCGTACAATAATAATAATAATAAAAAATTCTCGTCACTTGTTTAACACACTTTTTCGAACTTAGGGCTATTCTGATAGTTATTTTTTTTTTCTGAAACCTAAGCACACTAACCAAGCAGTGGCCAGTTTTTAGGGTAGCTTCTTTGATTCACGTAAAATATTTCTGTGTGAGGGCTCACGACCTTTTCTAAAGAAAGAAAACGGTTTTGCATTTCTTTAATATTTCCAGATGATGGGTTTAGCTGCCTGCGTTTCTATTTCTGCGTCGCACACATTTTAGGTGAAGCCAATACAAGAAAATATATCCAGGGTCGTTTGCTGTACCTTCGAAACTATGGTAACTGCGATTTCAAGAAATTGCTATCCAAATTTCGCAACGCTTGCGAAAATTGTATTAACGCTGGGCTAGAGTTCGTTTCGAATCAAGGGATTTTGTCTTTTTTCCAAAAACTAAGTGCCACATTGATGGTTTTAGCTATTTTTTACTAGAGTCTACTACTCCATTTTATCGCTTTTTTGGGCGTACCTTCTGCTGTAGACTGTCGCGTTGTTCTACTGAACAATTTCTGTGGTAAACATAGTTCAGTTAAAAAGTGCTTGAAGGGGCCGTGCAACAACTTTTTTACGTTTTTTTTTCTTTTAATTTCCACCGAACTTGGGCTCACTGAACGTAGAAACTAAGTGTTCTTTTTCCTCGAAATTCGTCTTATTTTAAAAGTTACAGGCATCACATTACAGTCACAAAAAAGAAGCAAAAAATGACCTCCTTCATGACGTCATTGGTCCTCGGCCCCCTTTTCCTGCGCCCGCGGACCGCGGTGACTGGGAGGGGAAGACGGGGAAGGGATCTGAGGCGAAGGAGAGAGAGCTGCTCGGGACCGGGCAGCTCTCTCTCCCCGGCTGACCAGGACCAAAACGTCACGATTTCGTCACATGCCGCGCGCGTTCGACATCACGGGGCGCCCCCGTAAGAAGAGAAAGTTTCCTCGTCGTCCGTTTAAAATATGACGCACTGATATTTAGTCACTCTCTCCGCAACCGCTAAGTTGCCCGAACCACAAGAGACTTGAAAACAGCAAAAAAGGTAGATGGTTAAATAGGATTGCAGGGACCCTTTAATATATAACATAAAAGTGCGAGCTTGTAAATCGATCTAATTTGTTACAGCGGTATCCATTATAAGGTGCTTGTAACATGTTAACAGTCAGTGAAAAAAAAAAAGAGGAAAAACATGAGGATTCTCATCTGTGTTTTCCATTTGCTCGAATGCATTTAAATGCGACAGATATGCACGCACTAAGCCAGTAAGATCGTCTAGTCAATTATTTCAGCATGCACTTCCGGTTGCAGACTCTTAGTTTCTAACGGTCGATGGCATAATAAGTACACCTTGAAAGTTTTGTGGGAGGATGTGATCGCAACGGTATCTCTGGGGCGGCTGAAATGGATATTATTCAGCCTATGACGCTACATCACACCCATTTGTGGTCTTCCTTTTTTTTTGCATCTTGTGTTGGCATTAAAATTTCGTGGTGTGCACGTTTTCCATTATTGTTTTATTCTACACAATATACCAAACAAAATTTGCAGCAGAAACCACTATTGTTGGCTCTATATGAATCGCGATAGCATACGTCTAGGACAACCTCAAGAAAGACGACGAAGACGACGTCGAAGACTGCGTCCTAGAGAACGATATCAAAGACGACGTCATGAACGACCTCTAGAACGATCTCATGGACAACCTCTAGGACGGCCTCAAAGATGGCGTCGGAGACGACGTTTAGGACCACCCCCAGGATGTCCTCAGGGACAACCGCTAGGACCTTCCCCTCAGTACCCTTCCCTCCTCCTCCTCAAGAGCTGCGCTCTAATTCGGCATTACAGGGAGTTGTAAACGGCTTTCATATTTTTTTTCCAAAATACGGCCGTCGATTCGAGATATCGCCTTACGAGTACTGTTGGAGTACTCCTTTCTCGAGTACTCCTTCCTCCTCCTCACGTCCTCATCCTGTCAGCTACTCCTGCCTCCCAGCGGCGTCGCTGCCGCCTCACGAGGGTCACGTGACCCCACGGGGATCATTGGACGTTACTGGGTCATGTGACTTCACGGGGTCACGTGACCCCTATGAGGTCACGTGACGATGACGATGACGTCATCAGTGGCGTCACCAGCGACGTCACTGTTGACGTCGTCATCACTACTGACGTCATCAGTAACGTCATCAGTGACGATGACGATGCAAATGCCGATGACGTCATCAGTGACGTCACTGATGACGCCATCAGTTGCGATCATGATGCGGATGCCGATGACGTCACTGATGACGTCATCAATGACGTCACTGATGTCATCAGTGGCGATGGCGATGCCGATGACGTGAACGATAACGTCATCAGTGGCGTCACGCGTCCCATAATGCACCGCGCGATTACGCCGACGCCGCTTAATCCGGAAACAGGCGTCTAAGAGTTGCGCTCTAAAAAAAGGTCGAGCTTGAACGAGGCCGACGAGGCGCGTAACGTCGAGATATCTCGTTTCTTCCTCTCTTCGTTTGCCCCCTCAAGGCGAAGAGGCGGAAAAGACGCAAGGCAGTTCCCTCTACTTCTCGACTCTTCTCGGAGAAACAAGACGTAAACATATCTGTCAAATGCGCCTCTTTTTTTTGAAAAATACGGTCATCCTTTTGATATACTACGTTGAATGAGTGATGTTTTGATGTTTGTAGCATCCCGTTGCACGCTTTTGTCGCCGTGCTTTATGAAATCCAGATTCCGGTTCAGCATCCATTTAAAAGCTCATTCAGGAAAAAGTTAGTCTGGTTTTTGCATTCATTTATTCATTTATTTCAAATATCCTCAAGGTAAGTACATTAAAGAGGGAAGAAAGCTGTAAGATATTAACTACATATTGCACATATTAGTAATATCGTGTTTAAACAAAACAATATCAGTGATGTTAGCAATCGAGACGGGATGATAGGACGACTGGTGTCTTACCGAATGCAATCTAATGTCGATTCTCATAATAAATAATGAAAAAAAAAGTTTACTGAAGGCGTCGATCCGGTGGTCGTATAGTTGTGCATTTTTAGGACTCTTAAAGGGGGTAATGAAACGATAATAGTTTGGAATGTTCAAGACTTTACAGAGGCGTACTCTTCCTAGGCTGGCCAAAGTATACACGCACAAACCGTCATTGATTAAGAAGTTTCTTTTTAGCGGTGTGATTAAGGAGATGAATGGAGACTATTTATTTCACCCTTGGCTTCGCAAATTTTGATGAGGTAATTGTTTCGATCGAAACCACCCGTCTACAAGAAATCCGTGGGCACTTGGCTTTGGCTCGTAACAAAGCAATACCTCGGCGAACACTCGTGTAGTGGCTCATATCTCAGCACTGCTTTGATAAGAGCCATCGAACTCTAACAATGTCTGGAGCTCTGCACTCGTTTTCTACTTGGAAAACCCCAGCGCGTGGGTATAAATAACGTTGGCGGCATAGGATAGGCACCAGGCCCCGTGGCCGCTTGTTCAGGCTCCTAGTAGAGGTGATGAACGCTGCTCACACCTTGGGATTCTGCGAACCTCTCGAAGTTCGAGATCGAAAGCTAAGAAAATTTCGACCTCCTTAATGTTCGAAGTCGAAAAGTTCGCAATTTCAGAACCGCGCTGAGGTTCTAAATCGAGTAATTCGAAAATGTCAGGGTTTTTTAATGTTCAAGTTCAAAATATTTCGAATTTTTCGACAGATCGTTTGAAAATTCGAACATTTCGAATTAAGATTCATGTTCGAAAAATCTAGGATTTCGATTTTTTTGAGGTAGAAGCTTCCTCCTCAGTACTATGGTACTGGTACTACTACCTGTATTACTCGTTATTTGTTGTAACTTAAGAAACAAGTGCTGAAGTGATTGAACGGTTTATTGAAAAGCTGAGGCGGTCAGGTGAACGTACTTTCTGCTTATTTTGAAACTAGCAGCAATGCGATCAAACGTCGCCTAAATGCACTACTGGCACAAACATATATACGCAGGACAACACATGCACAAAAAACATCCAGGCTTTCGGGGTAACGGTATTGATGCTGCCTGAAATATTTCTTGTTTAAGGAATGGAGATATTGTCCGCTCTAAAACACAGCCTCAATACTAATGATAATAAAGCGGCGATTCAACATACCCTGTAGAGCATCGGCGTCGCGCGCCGCGCGCGCCTTACCTTGACTCGACGAAATCGGGGGATCTGAGTTCAGAAACATCTAATGCTATGAAGGGCGCAAAACTAATCCAGAATACGGGTGAAGACATAACTGTGACAACAAAAACGGCTTGAGACAACAAAAATAACAATTTAATAAAACGTTTCGCCTCCCCTGCGGGAGGCACCTTTAGTAACTCAAAGAGCAAATAAGAAACGCACGGAAAGTTCGGTTATTTAGCCAGGAAGTATGTGTACACATCCGGCAGGGGGATAAGGTGCTTGTTGAACAAAATTGAGTCACTTCCGCCTTTCTCATTTTGGATGAACCAAGATTCCAGCAGCCTTTCTTGGTTCCCACGTTTTCTCTCTCGCAAAGGTCGATGCCTTGTCAAAGTCAACGTTATCTCGAAGCCAAAATACCTCATCCCTTCAGAGACAGAAAGGGCGTAATCTACCAGGTGCACTGCAGGGGATGTGACGCTTCCTATGCATTGGAGAGACGGCGACGAAAAAAAAAAAAAAACTAAAAGAACACTTGAAGATAGCATAACAAGACAGGCCAGCTTTTTTAAACACCTATAAAACCCAAGACACAAAAAGTCGGCAAGGCCACGAACGCCACCAGTTTCAAATCCGAGCTTGTCGGCCATGCATGGACGTCAGGCCACCAATTTGACTTTGTTAAAGCATCGACCTTGGCAAGGGAGAGAAAAGTGGGGACCGAGAAAGCTGCTGGAATCTCGGTTCTTTCAGAACGACAAAGGCGGAAGTGACTCATCGCTGGTCAACAAGAACTTTGGCCTCATTCCGGACATGTACACAAACTTCATGCCCAAATAGCCGAACTTTCCTTGCGACTATCTTTCGCTCTTTGCTTTATTGAAGATGCCTCCCGCATAGGATGCGCGAAGTTTAATTAAATTGGTATTTTTGTTGTGTCAAGTCGTTTTTGTTATTGCGGTTATCATGCTACGAAGGATGCTCCCAGCGAAGCGCCTCGGTTGACCTTAAAGCCTGCAGATTAGGGATCTGCTAACCCATAGGTTACCTCGAGGCAAACGCAGTTGTGCGTGGGAAAGGCTCTGTGCGTAAGTTGAAAGAAAAATGTGTAGTATTCATGCGCCAGGTCGCAAAGCTAAATAAGACTCTCGTTAAATTGCAACTCCACTTCACATATCGACATCTGATATTATTTGTATTTGTTGCCTTTAACCTATGGGTGTTATGGGAGTAAACTTGGTTCGAACGCCGTCAAACTTTTATTCAGAAGTTCGAAGTTTATCAAACTTTTTTGAAATTAACAGGTACGAAAGTTTCGAATTGAACGAATTACTTAGCGTGATGAGCTCGAAAGGTCAAAAATGTCAAATTTCATACCGCGAAAAATTGGAATATCGAAGACGTTTGAATTTCTTAGCACCAGCAACCCGAAAGTTCGAAAATTATCGAATGTTTCATGTAATACGTTCAACGTCAAGAAACTTTTCAAACCTTTCGAACCCTTGGTTGAATCTTCAAATCTCAGGCTCGCACGAATTTCGCGGCATCTCTACTCATATTTCTATATATTTTTTTTTTGGCGACTGCCATTACTAGAAAAAAACACATTAAGACAAGTCTATTCAATTAATAATGTTAGGGAGTGGTTCTAACTTCTAAGTACTATTTAGGGAAAGTAGAAAAATCGCTCTATGACCATTTTAACGTCCTGTCACACCTTATGACAGTAAAAAAATGAGCAAGCTAATGCACCGCAGCATAAACCGCGGAGGCCGCATCTCTCTCTCTCTCTCTCTGTATATATATATATATATATATATATATATATATATGTTTTTTGTTTTTTTTAACGAGTCAGCAGTATATTTTTTGTAAAGCTTTGAACGCCGTCTGGTGCGCCGTAGTCAATTCCGAGGACTAAAAGTGTATAAAGCGGGCTCTAGGAAATCACGGAGGCGACATTGAAAAGCACTGAGGATACGCAGGGGAACGAACGACCTAAACTACAGCAAAACCTCCTAGGCGGCAGGAGCCGAACTTTCATCACCTAAAAGAGGACAGCACTGGGCAAAGATTGCCCACAAGTGCTGCTTGTGGGTTCGGGTAGGGAGTCGTGTTCAATCAGTCAGAACATGAGTCCCAGTGGAACGTTGACGCAGAAGTCCTGTTTGACTTAGGCCCCCAGTTTCCTCGTATGGACGCTTCAGCATTACTACGACGCCCGAAACACGTCTTAGCGTCCTATACCGCACGTACATCAAAAGTGGTCCCAAAGTGGCAACAAACCACGGCACACAAGTCGGAGTGTCATCCCATCTCGGATGTCGCGATTCTAGTGGTT